CACCTGTCTTGGCTCCCCCCTTTCGTGTAATTCCCGTTGCCTTCTCACCCCATGTTTCACGGTCTCACTTACCCCAAATAGTCTCCCCTCGTTGTCTCCTCTCCGAGTGTAGGAGTTGTATTCCACGGTCTTACTCGCCCCAAATAGTCCTTCCTCGTTGTCTTCTCTCCAGGTTCTCACAACTCGACTTCACGCTTTGGTCCGCACGCGGAACTCTGCACGCGTGGGTGATGTGCACTCCTCTTCCGGGCAAGCCCACGTGCTGTCCGCTTCTTCCGACTCCCGCCCTCTCACATCCAGTCCCACACCCCTAATAGTCCATCCACGTTGTCTTCTCTCCGGGTGCAGATTTTGACGTGTCATTGATGACGTCACTGAATCGGAGTTCAAAAAAAATCTGATTCGGTGATGTCATCAATGACACGTCAACTTCTGCACCCGGAGAGAAGACAACGTGGACGGACTATTAGGGGCGTGGCACTGGATGTGAGAGGGCGGGAGTCAGAAGAAGTGGACAACACGTGGGCTTGCCCGGAAGAGGAGCGCACATCACCCACGCGCGCAGAGTTGTGCGTGCGGACCAAAGCGTGAAGTCGAGCTGTGAGAACCCAGAGAGAAGACAACGAGGAAGGACTATTTGGGGCGAGTGAGACCGTGGAATACATCTAAATAAAAACTACTTGGTCCTACTGAAAACTAGGATATCGTCTAAATAAAAACTACGACGAATTTATCTAACCAAGGTCTAAACACATCATTCATGCAACGCTGAAACGTGGGTGGTGCATTGGTCAGTCCAAAGGGCATCACTATGAACTCATAATGCCCATATCTAGTCCGGAAGGCAGTCTTGTACTGGTCATCAGGATGAACCTCTATCTGATGATATCCGGAGTTCAAATCTATCTTCGAAAAGTATCTGCAGCCCTGCACTCGATCTAAGAGATCGTCTATCTGGGGCAGCGGCTCAGCATTCTTTACTGTGATAGCATTCAGACCCCTGTAATTTATACACATACGCAACTCTCCCTCATTTTTGGGGACAAATAACACTGGTGCTCCAAAAGGAGACGAACTAGGCCTAATCCAACCCTTTTCGAGGAGCTCATCCAACTGCTTGCGTAGCTCCTCTAACTCCCCTGGGGACATCCTGTAGACCACTCCCTTAGGAGTTACACTACTGTCAGGTTCTATCTCTATCCGGTGCTGGATCGACCGCGATACTACTCCTGTCGACGACTCTGCTAAGTCAAGGTCTTCCAGCAGCTTGGCAATAGTTGGGTCTATTGGCTTCTCTTCCTTAGGCTCAGTGATAGGTCTCACATATGCTACGAAGACCTGCTCCTCTAACTGCTCCTTCTTAACTAACTGCACGAACGCGAGAGCAATGAGACAGCGATGTGCCAAGGAGTTGTCTACTCCTGACACATGAAACAAACGGGTCGTCTTAACCTCGCCTGATGGACTAGGGAGCCTACACTCATGCTCTCTCAGGTGGAGTGTGCCCCCCGCTGCCTCTCCCCAGTCCATACCTAAGACTACGTCAAAAGCGAGGTCATCTTGTACGAGGAGAGTCAGGGAATGGAGAACTTTCTCCACTTTCCCATTTGCCTCTAGGCGAAAATACGCATGGACTCCCTCTATGTAGTCCTCAACACGCATCGTGTGGTTGTTTGCGAGGACACTGACTATGGAGTCTATTAACTTATGGACTTTCAATCCTAGCCTTAGCTTCTTCAGTGCCCTACGGCTAATATAATTGCGAGTAGCCCCTGAGTCTATAAGGGCTCCTACTCTACTTCTGAAAACTTCTACATCTACTAATACTAGCTCTCCTTTACTTTCCTTCGTCACTTTGGCCCAGGCCGATATCCTTTCCTTCAATTCTTTTGCCACGCCTGTGAGGGAAGTGCCTAGAGAGACGCTAACACAGGCAGTCTCTGGACAGCTAACTAGGCACTGGCCTGCAACCTCTGTCGTAGGCTCATGTGGTGTGGGAGTTTCCTGTTGGCGCACGCTCGTTTCCCCACATGGCCTTGTTGTAGGGGCAGTTGCAACCCCTACCGGCGGCTGCCTTTTGACCCTTGGGCAGCCGATCGGGCCTCTCTATACTTAGGACAATATTTAATAATGTGGGTCGGGTCACCGCAGTATATGCACTGACCCTGGTCCACACGTTGCTGCCATACGCGCTGGTCCAGGCCCAAATCTGCCCATGGTCTGCCCTGTGGCAAGCCTGTGTGCCATCCTTCTCTCCTTTGAGGTGATCTTCCACCTCTTCTCTATGGCGACCGACTAAAACGTGAGCGATTTGGCGGGGGACCTTGACCCCTACCTCCCTCTTGGCTGTTCCTTTGGCCGCCAACCCCCTGTGGGCCCTGTCCTCAATCACCAAAGGCCTGGCCCCTTTGGCCTTGGCCTCCTCCTCTGCCCTGCGGCCTCCCTCAGGCCGCGACAGCAGTGTAGGTCCTCCCCTGGCCCACTCCACTATCATCCTCCTCATCTTGCCCCCACTCAATCCGACTGTACAGAGACTTATGCTGTCCGAAATTTTCTTAGTTTGAAGGAGTTAGATTATATTTTCACAGGTGGCGATTCTGGCGATCCACTCTGTATAGGGGAATACTGCCATAGGTCTGCCTTGCGTTGGGCACTGGCTTAGAGGCAGGTCTTGGGTGAGAACGTGTTATGGAGCTGTATTCTCTATACACTTATGATTTTAGCTTGGGGATTGGCCTGTCTTGTGTTACAAGTCTTTTTTATCGATTGATTCAGGATTTGGGCTTAGATTCAGCTTGATCCTACGAGGATCATCTTCTGTTATCATTGATAACAGGTCAGTTACCGATTCGTCGGTTTACGATTCAACTCCAATCCACTCTTGCCACTCAACCAAAAGGCTTTAGCCTTGTGATTTGAACTGTTTTGTTGTGTTTTCGCCCGGACTATATTTGAATGGCCATTTAAAGAAAAGTACCGAGTATTTTATTTTGAGGCACAAGAGTAAGGCTTGTATGGCTAAAGCAAGGGGGGTGAGCGCAGAGAATGGTTGAAGTTGACCCCGTGTAGTGCATGGACTTTTGGGTTGAATCTTTGATATGATTGCAGGTATGTTTGGTGATTCGGACTTTGGATTTGACTGCTTGCGTTCACATACATATATATATGGCTGAGAGGAGTCCCACTGTGACTGTGAGAAGGATCGTCCTATATTAATAACCCTTATTTATATATACATATATATCGTCAAATAGATATATATGTATATATATCGTCAAATAGAAGTGCCCGGTAATATATATATATATATATCATCACGAACAGAACTGCCCGGTAAACCGTAGGCAGAGAGAGAGAAGAGGACAACAAACGAGGGGCTGTGACAAACTGTTTCGTCGGAGTTATATGTTTATGGCTTGAGTGTTTTCGCGCAGCCTACTGTGACCGTGCGTAAGGGTTAAACAGATCGTGCATTTGAGAGAAGAGGGGGATCCTCTTCTAGCCTTTGCTCTTTAGATTTTCTATGGTCGGACGTTGTAGTCCGTGGCAGCCGTCAAAGTCAAACCCCTTGACTTATTTCCAGGCCATAGATGATGGAGTTGGTCTCCAGGGCCATAAGAGACGATTGCCACCACAGGTATAAGTGTACCACCCACTCTCCGCAGGGTGCAGAAGAGGGTGTGGTTTTCAACCGCACTTGGCGGTTGTCCAGCGTCAAGAGATTAACCCTCAAGGCGCGTGTCAGCCGACACTTGAGTGTCGAATGTGACCCTCCAGATTAACGAGGACCGCATGAGTATGGGTACTGCATAGTACGCCATCATTGCAATCGCTTGCGTACGCTTGCATTGCGAATCGATATGAGTTAGCCCTGCGTCCGCACGGTTTTATACTAAGGCTCGCGCGTGACGCCTATCCGATTTCCACATTGGAAAGTTATGGGACGGCTACTAAGGGACCAGGACTGTTGTCGTGTTGCTTGTTCAGTGTCGTTCGGTATATGTATATGTACGTGGGTGTGCGTTTTTATTTTTATGTCCTTTATAGTGGTGTGTGTGTGGCGTGTGGCATGCGTCCTAGTCGACCGGCGACAAGTCGCGCTTGGGACCTCGGCCCCCCAAGGTGTCGGTTTCGCACGCGGATTCGATAGAGGCGTAATACCGCACGTACCCCCTATGCTACAACGAACGAGAAACGCCCTCGGCTGGTCCACCTCTGCGATTGCAACTGATCAGCTTTCGTACTGTGGACTGGTAGCTCGGCGGGGATACGCCCACCGAAGGGAGGTGACAGCTCCCGTAAGGTGGATGTAAGTTGTGCCTCGCGTAGGCCCTATCCTGTCGTAGGGGCTCGCGAGAGGTATGGCTGGCGCACTCGGCTGGAGCGGCTTGCGGAAGCTCCATCTACATTCACGACGAGGAACAAGACCAATTCCTGCGTGACGCGACCGAGAGGGTCCCGCGCTACCTCGTGCGGTGCCGGACCGATGCGCTCGACACCGCCGCAAGGAGACCCAGGATCTGCTGCAGCGGCACAAAGCTGCCAGCGTCGACAGGCTCAAGTTCTGTCATTCTGAACCATCCAAGGGCCACGACGACGCGACACCGAAAGAGCAGCAGAATTTTCTCTCCAAACTCGTGACCCGGTTGGTTTACACTTTCAACCACCTGCAGTCCGAGTTGGCGAATCTCCGACGCAGTGCGGAACCACAAGGATCTGCACGAGGATGCTACACGGGCACTTCATTCCCGTGTACAGGACTTGGAGCAAGTAGCACCAGGACCATATGCTGGCGAACCCAGCAATGTAGCCTCAACCCGCCAGTTGGAGCAACAAGTTGACCATGTAGTCGCAATGCTCGACGACATCAACACCTTCGCCGCACCAGCCACCATCAGCGAGCAGCTTGACACCTTGAAGACCGAGGTTCGACAACTACACCAGCCGACCGACAACGATGGCAGCACTAGTGCATCGCGGCCGTACAAGATGTTGACGTTCCGGATCAAGAAGTTTGATGACTATACGCATCAGGACCCAGTTGTCTGGTGGCAAGGCTTTACAACGGAGATTGGGATTCATGAGGTCCCCAATCAACGCCAAGGGCGGATGCCTGATCTGGCTCAGCCACATGGCAACCATCCACGGCGTCCAGGTCTCCGGCCTGCACAAGAAGATCTCCTGGGACAACATGACGAAGGAATGGAAGAAGCGGTTCATTGTGGACGACGCCCCAACGCTTGCCATCAACCGCTTCTTCGCCATGACTCAAGGAAACACACCGACACGCGATTGGCTCACGGAATGGCAAACGATCGTGACAACACCCGATCTCGAGTTGCCATTTTCGCATCTGCGTCAGGAGTTCTACAACCGGTCGTGTGCCGCCTTGAGCCTCGCACTCGGTGATCGAGAACAGTATACAACCTTCACGGAAAACATCGACAAGGCGCATGAGATCATCAAGACCAACCGAGCGGCTGCACACAAGAAGTTAGCGTGGCAGCCAGCCCATGTCGAGAAAGGAAAATTTGGTCCGCGTCTGCAGCCCGTCGCTGCAGTCCAACCGAACAACATTGTAAAAGACCCAACAACCACCCCAACATCACGTGAGGGAGATCAGGTGGCCACTGTCCAGCCGTGAAGCAACAACAACTCCCGTGGAACCGCATCACCTGCCGGAAATGGACAGCCAGTACCAGGGATCAAGTTCAACTTGACGGAGGCCGAATACAAGTACCACAACCAATACGGCTGCTGCTATTGGTGCAACATCACCAAGCACAAAACCTCCCAATGCAAAGATAAAGGCAAGGAGGATGTTCGACCTCGAATCAGCTCGGCAAACTGAGCTGCACTGGAGGTGAGGCGACTCCACCTCTCACTCCGCCAGATTTGCCCGCCTTGCTAGCGACCTCCTACACATCTGGGGAGAATGCGGATGTCGCGAGTCCTCAGTTCACTTACAAGGATTACATTGTCCACTTGGTCCCACTGTTGGACCAGCCACTCCACGTGCAACAATCCACCGCAAGCACGGTTTCACCACCATCGGCAACCGATTCGGCAGCTTCGCCGCCAACTTTCGCCGGGGATTCGACGTAATGGTCAAGACTTGAGAGACTCGACCCGTTGACGTTCGCGGACTTCCAATGGATGCCCCTTCCCCCGACCGTTCGATCGTTGAAACCGCATTGCTACGTGCTCATGGCACAATTGCGGGATTACTTGCACACTCCAGTACCAACCCCGTTGATGGACGCCGGAGTAGAGATTGTTGACCTTCGCAACGATCGACCGCGAGTTCAAAACACAACGGTATGACACCCATGATGCACCATTGCTATACATACACATTCAGATCGGAGAAGCGACCTGCAACGCTTTGATCGATTGCGGAGCTACTCGCAACTATATGAGCCAAAACTTTATGGTACGCGCTGGCCTTGGGCCACACATTCAAAGGAAGTCGCAGCCCACGCAAGTCACGTTGGCCGATGGTCACACACACAAGTCAATCAACCGGTGCATTGATTTCGTCCCCGTGTACTTCGCCCCACATGCAAGCGAGGCCGTGTCCTTCAACATTTTGGACACCTAGTTAGACATGATTTTGGGCATGTCATGCCTGCGAAGCGAGGATCACCCGGTGAACTTCTACTGCCGCACCGTTCACGTTTGTGATCGGAACGAAGTACTAGTCCCGTGCAGGGGGCCTCCACCTCACCCTTCGATCAGCTGTCACGTGGTGTCCGCCGCAAGCATTCGAGCTTCCATCACCAGGGACGACATCGAGGAGATGGGGGTGTGTTTTCTCCATGCCCTCCCTCCCCATTACATCCCATCGACGAACGCATCGACGGACCCACGTATCACCGAGTTTCTCGACGCCTACGACGACATGTTCGAAGCCCCGCACGGAGTAATACCGGATCGGCCCATCCGGCACGAGATCATCCTCGAGGCCGGGGCGGTACCTCCGCGTGGTTGCATCTACCGTATGAGCGAGGAAGAGTTAAGTGTGCTACGGGCACAACTCGACGACCTTCTTGAGAAAGGTTGGATTGGGCCTAGCTCTTCGCCATATGATGCTCTCGTTCTCTTCGTTCGAAAGACGAACAAGAATTTGCAGTTGTGCATCGATTATCTCAAGCTCAACGAGCAAACCATCAAGAACGCCGGCCCTCTCCCGCGCATCGACAACCTTCTCGAACGGCTAGGCGGCGCTAAATTTTTCTCCAATCTTGACCTCAAATCGGGATATCACCAACTCGAGATCCGGCAGGAGGACCGCTACAAGACCGCGTTCAAGATGCGATATGGGCATTTTGAATCGATGGTTATGCCTTTTGGCCTTCCGAATGCCCCGACCACATTCCAAGCGGCTATGACGACGGAGTTCCGACACACGCTGGACAAATTTGTACTCATCTACCTCAACGATATCTTGGTGTACAGCCGGAGTTTCGACGAGCATGTGGAGCACCTGCGCACCGTTTCGGAACGGCTACGACAAGCCAAGTACAAAGCCAACCGCGACAAATGCGAATTGGCGTGGCAAGAGCTCGAGTACTTGGGCCATTTTGTGACACCGCAAGGCATCCGTCCGTTCACACACAAGATCGAGGCCATCCGAGTATGGCCCAGGCCCACCAACACCATGGAAGTTCGCTCATTCATGGGATTGGCAGGCTACTACCAATGCTTCATCACCGGGTACTCAAGGATCGCCGCACCATTGACGAGACTACAATCGCCAAAGGTGCTATTCATACTCAATGATGAAGCGCGCCGGTCATTCCATGCACTCAAGACGGCCATGCTCATGGCACCCGTCCTCAGCATCTACGACCCCACCTTGCCAACGCGAGTGAGGACTGACGCTTCCGGCTATGGCATTGGGGCAGTCTTGGAACAACACGACGGCGACGATTGGCACCTTGTGGAGTATTTCAACCACAAGGTGCCTCCCATCAATTCACTTGATGATGCAAGGAAGGAGCTGCTTGCATTCGTGATGGCTCTCAAGCGATGGCGGCACTTCCTCCTTGGGTGTCATASGTTCACATGGGTCACTGATAACAACCCGTTGACCTACTACAAGACGCAGGACGCGGTGGGCAGCATATCGGACAATGCATGCACTTCATCGACCAATAGTGCTGCTCGCGGACCACAAACGAGCTTCATAGAGGCTGGAGTCCCCGACGTCACATAGACTGTTTGAATCCCGATCAGATCCAAAGACTACCACCTGGTACACGTGAGTTTGCTATCCAGTATGAGAGGGATCTGCAGCGCGTTGCTGAGAACATTCGAAGACCCAGCACCAGATGGCGGAACAAGCGAACAAACACAGCTGCCCATCACAGTTTGCAGTAGGAGATCTTGCCTGGGTCAAATCTAACGAGTTTGTTCCCCAGGAAAGGGTCTCGCAGAAGTTGTTGCCCGCCTACAGAGGGCCATGGCAAGTATTAGATGTTAAGGGTATCGCAGATGGACTGTCATACACCATCGAGATTCCACACACCTATCCTGTTTTTCACGCTTCTAAGCTGCTTCCCTGTGTGACTAATGATGCATTTCCCTCACGCCGAACCATGATCCCACGTGATATGGACGGCAGATACGACGTAGACAAAATTGTAGCCGAGGATACCTTCCGTACAAGTCGTAGAGGTAGGCCACAGAGGCAATATGAAGTTCGATTTGCTTACCAGAATCCCAGCGAAGACCGCTGGTTCACCAGGGATGAGTTAGTTCAGACAGCCCCTGATATAGTCTCATTACGAGAGGGAACGCAGAGGATTAAACGTCTATGACCGTTGGAGTTAACTTTTCTGCAAGCCTACCAGTCCCTGTTACAGACTCCCCAATTATTGCAGTCCGCAGGCCCTACCGGTAGTTAAATCTCAGGGTCTGTAGGTCTAGGCGTCGCAGGTCTGTAGGAACAGTACCTGTAGGATCACGCCAGTCCCAAAAGGTCCAGTTTTTGCAGCAGCCTGACAAGAAAGATGAGAACTTGAGAACCTTCCCAAAATAGCAACTTGGCAGGGCAGAGGCAAAAGAAGGACAGTACCGATTGAAGCAGGCAGGCCCAGCCCACGAAAACAATATATTTTGGGCTACAGTACCAGATGGCAGGCAGTTCTTCATTTTGCAAATTTGTGAAGGGCTGCTGGAGCTGTGTGAACTAGCGACCTCGACGAAGAAGTGCGCTGAAGGGAGAAGACGCCCAGCGCCCTGGCTGAAGGAGACGGCCATAGCCAGGAGGGGGAAGAAGCAGACTTGGCGTCCATTACCACCTGATGTTGAGAGAGACACGCTGCAGTAGTATTCCGGGTAGATCTAGGACGCAGACGGAGGAGAGGTCAGAAATGCACAGCAACAAGGGTGAACAGTGCAGAGAAGGAAGAGAGAGAGAGAGAGAGAGAGCGAGAGAGAG